CAGCACAGCTAAGGACAGGGCAGCGAGGACAGGACTCCACCCTTGCGCCTCATCGCGTGCAGATGATGTTGCAGGGCACAAGCAGAGAGTATGGCTGCCATGGTGCTGCTGGGCTGCCTGGGTGATCTGTGGCGGGCCATGGAGGTGGTGGGTGGCCCAGCGGGCAGGACAGAGCGGGGACGGGGGTGGTGGGGTGGTTTTTGGGCACTCAGTTTCTTAGAGATTCGCAATCACTGAACTGTATGATTCACTTAACAACTGTGGCAAGAAAAGTTATAAAATGGAGCATAACTCACTTTACAATTTTCTTTTTTTTTTTTTTTATTAAAAGTTTTATAAATTTTACAAGAAAAACAAGAACAATACAAAACAAAAAACAACATATACAGAAGAAAAAAAAATTAAACAATACATATAAAAAAAAAAACCCCCACCCCACACCCCTCCCAAAAACCCTCCCTTCCCCCCCCCTGAGCTTCCCAGAGCAGAATATAGGCTTAAGCAATAAAAAAAAATAAAAATTAAATTAAAAACTTTATATTTATATATACAAAAAAGATATCTATAATATATATAAAAATAAAACTTATGAAAAAGCTATATGATATTTTTGTATACCCAATCTAAATTGTATAAATTTTATCCATTTGTCCCAGATAGCAAAAAACTTCTCTTGCGTTTGTTGCTTTAAGAAAGCCGAAATCTTTGCCATTTCCGCCAGATAAGCTACTTTAAAAAACCATTCCTGCAATGTAGGCAAAGATTCCTTCTTCCAATATTGTCCAACTAACAGCCTCGCGGCTGTGATCAAATTTAACATCAATACAACCTCCTTTGTATCACAATCTGTAACAATACCTAACAAAAATAATTGCGGAGTAAATTTTACCCTCCTTCTAAAAATTCTCTGGATATTCCACCATATTTTAATCCAAAATGCTTTTATCTCTCTACATGACCACCAAATATGATAATAGGAAGCCTCCTTATAACCACATCTCCAACATTTAGGTTGCACGTCAGGGTACATGTAAGACATTTTTTGTGGATCAAGGTGCCATCTATAAAACATTTTATAAAAATTCTCCCTTAGATTCTGTGCTTGAGTAAATTTGACATTTCTCACCCAAATAGTTTCCCAGGTGTCCAATGAAACTGGCTCACCAAAGTTCTGCGCCCATCTAATCATACAATCTTTAATTAGTTCCGTTTCTGAGTCCAATTCAACTAAAACCCCATAAATTCTCTTAATGTGGGTTTGTCTTTGATCCTTCAGTTGCTTAATAAGATTTTCATCTTCTCTAAGGAAACCCACCTTACAATCCATCTTCCATCTATCTAGTAGTTGCCTATATTGAAACCAAGAATAAGTAAAATTTTCTTGTGCTAATTCTTCCCGTGATTTTAATTGCCAGTTTTGTCCATCCCATTTAAGTAACTGTCTATAAGACACCATATCCATTTTAACCCCTCTTTTTATTCCTTCTATCGCATGCCAAGGTATAGCCCATAATGGTACTTTAAAATCACTTTTATAATATTTTCTCCAAATCCTAAATAAAGAAATTCTTAAAATATGAGATTTAAAAGCCCAATCTATTTTTTTATTAAATATTAAATAGGCATGCCACCCATAAAGTAAATCCCATCCCTCTAGATAAAGTATCTCAGAATTTGTCAAATTTACCCAGTCACTAATTAATGTTAAAACCACCGCATCATAATATAATTTCAAATTTGGTACCTTGAGTCCGCCCCTCTCACGGAAGTCTTGCATAATTTTGAACTTAACCCTTGGTTTTTTCCCTGCCCAAATAAATTTATTGAGACCCTTCTGCCACTCATTTAAATTAATCTCATTTTTCAAAATTGGTAACATTTGAAACAAAAAAAGAAACTTGGGTAGAATATTCATTTTTATCACTGCAATTCTTCCCATGAGGGATAATTGCAGCTTTTCCCAATTCTTCAAGTCTTTCTGTACCCCGACCCACAACCTTTCATAATTATTTTTAAATAGTTTTGCATTAGAAACAGACAGCATCACCCCCAAATATTTTACCTTATTAACAATCTCAAAACCCGTCGAGTTAACCAAAATCTGCTTCTCCTGACTCGACAAATTTTTAGGTAAAATTTTAGTCTTATTTACATTAATCTTAAAACCCGAGACCAAACCATAATGGTGAATCAACTGTAATAAGTTTACTACAGAATAATCAGGTTGCGACAAAGTAACAACCAAGTCATCCGCAAAAGCTCTCAACTTATATTCTTTTTTATTAACATATATTCCTTTAATTTCCTGAGACTCTCGAATTTTAATCAATAATATTTCCAATGTTAAAACAAACAACAATGGCGATAAAGGACACCCCTGTCTAGTACCTTTCTCTATTGTGAAAACCTCCGACAAACCTCCATTAACAATAAGTTGTGCTGTTTGTTTTTGATATATTACCTTAAGAGCTTGTAATATGTTTTCACCAAAATTCATTTCTTCCATTACTCTTAGCATAAAATGCCAATTCAGTTGGTCAAATGCTTTTTCAGCATCTAAAAATATGAGCCCTGCAGGAACTTGGTTGTTCTTATCTAAGTATTCTAATAAGTTAATAATTTGTCTAACATTGTTTTTCATATACCTTCCTGTTATAAACCCTGATTGATCTTTATGCACAAGATGATGCACCACCCTCATAAGCCTATTTACCAAAATTTTTACAAATATCTTATAATCCACGTTTAAAAGAGATATAGGCCTATAGTTTTTTGGTAAAGTAAGATCTTGATCCTCCTTTGGAATCAATGATATAAAAGCACTACGCCATGAAGGAGGAATCTCTAAACCCTGTAAGATACCATTAAAAAGATCATTTAATGGTTGAATCATCTCCTCCATTAAAGCTTTATAATAAACAGCTGTTAACCCATCCGTACCCGGTGCTTTCCCTAATTTCAATTGTTGAATTGCTGAGGCAATTTCCTCCTTAGTAATTAAACCATTAATTTCATATTACTTTACAATTTTCTTAACAACAGAGATTTTGGGCTCAATTGTGGTCATAAGTCGAGGACTATTTGTATACTGCACAAAACCATGCCACTGAAGTTTCCATCGCTCTTTTATATGAGTATGATTTTTAAGCAAATCCTCTCCATTCACATCTACATTCAGTTCTCCGTATATCTCCTTTATTATATTTTCCAGTACACACACACTTCACAGTAAAGTTGCCTGAGAGTTCCTTCCATTAAATTCTGGTCAGTTGTTGTCTTCGGTTTGGTCTGATGTTTCATAAAATCTCTTTATGCTACATTTGGAAAAGAGAAAAAGAAAAGGAACTACTAGAGCCACTAATGTGTAATTGTCAATGATTCCACAATATATATCCAGTAGTAACGATACAAAAACACCAGAGTTCAGTGGAGTTTCCTTCTACAAATATTTTGCAGAAACATCAGCGTAATATCACCCTACTTAAAATAGCATCGTTGCCTTGTCCATTTTCAAACTATTCAAAGTTTAATCAAATCATAATCCAAAATATTCAGATGTATACCATTCAGTGGCATAAGGCTAGGAATGAAATTGGAAGACTGTGGGAGTTCTAGTCCCAACCTTAGCCACGAAAGTCAGCTGTCTGGCTTTGGGCCAGTCGCTCTCTCTCAGCTCAGCTCACTTCACAGGGCTGTTGTTGTGGGGAAAATAGGTGGAAAGAGTATTAGATATGTTTGCTGCCTTGAGTTATTTGTAAAAATAATACAGGATAAAAAAAACTAAAATAAAATAAAATCCTTAAAGTGATACAACTGCTTTGTCCATTTTCAAGCCATTCAAAATTTAAATCGAAGTTTAATCAAGACATAATCCAAAATATTTGGATTAATGCCATTCAATGGCCTAAGACTAGTGATACACGCCAAAACATCCTCTATACCAGAATAACCAGTTCTGGGGGCCAACTGAGATCAAATGTATCTTTGGCAACTACATTCTGAGGGAAGAATTCAGAGAAAGAAATATTCTGGGAAATATTAAAAAAGGCAGAATATATTTCCCCAAAAGAATAATGGAGAAGATCTTTTTAAAAAGACAGAAACCAGCCCCCAGAAATCAGTCCCAGCCCCTAGGCCAGTGATGGCGAACCTTTTAGAGACCAAGTGCCCAAACTGCAACCCAAAACCCACTTATGTATCGTCGGGTGCCGGGTGGGTGTGGCCCATTGGGTGGGCATGGCCCATTGAGTGGGCATGGCTGCTGTGGTAATGGCAGACTGGGTGGGACCATAAAGTTCAATCAATCAATTCCAACTTTGCGAGATCTTTTTTTTTTCCTGCGAGAAGTTGAAATTGATTGAACCTTTTTTTTTTTTTTGCACATGGTGGCGAAGGCCTAAAGCAAAAAGGTTTATAAAATCCAGCTGAAGGCCTAGGACTGGGGCAACAGCATGCGTGCCCAGAGAGAGGGCTCTGTGTGCCACCTGTGGCACATGTGCCATAGATTCGCCACCACAGCCCTAGGCAGAGGCCAGCTTTTAGAAATGCAAATTCAATAATCCTTTCAGAAAGGTTGGAGCCTTCCAGCTAGAAACTGAAGAAATTAGGAAGACAAAGACCCTTAAAATCTACATACTCCACCCAAATTCTAAGACAGGACATAATAGGATTGACCCACCAATACCAAAAGGGCACACTCAGACTCAGATCAAAGTACATGACACAGGAAATACAAAGCCTCAAACAGGAACAGGAAACAACCTCAAGAGACCCAGAAGATATAAAAGCCCACCACTCTGCACCATGTGGTCAGGTTTTTTTCCCAGAGCCATCTTTCTGTCTGGTTCTCTTCAATAAACTGCAACCTTCTTTCTAAAGCAGTCTCCATTTTGTTTATTCTCAGCTTGGACTGTACCCTGATGAAGATTTTTCTTTCAGTAATTTGATAGGAAGAAAAAATGAATAATGTGAAGTGATTCGAGCTGGAGTAGTTAACTCACCAATTCCTGTTGTGTTATAAATGTGGGTTGCCAAAAAGCTGCACTGCTCACGTGGCAAAAACTGCATGATTTGAGGTGCCTCGGTGCTGATCTGGTAGATGCTTTGTTCAGTAGCATTGTAATGTGGCCATTGAACTTCACCAGATGCGAATTTGGAGGGATTCCTGTCAAGGAAATAAAATGATCAGATTATAGACAACAGTCAATTTGAACTGCAAGATTAAGGATAGAATGATTGACATGTCAACTTCACATTCCTCCTGACGAGCATTTTCAAGTGATATTAGTTTTGTTTATTTTAAATCAATTATTTTCTGTAGTGGAAGTCAGCCACAAGGCGGATCACAGTGCCTGGAGAAACATTTATACTATTCATTCCTTCAGGAATAGAAATAAATGTGAGCCAAAATTGACTTTGGTTAAACTGTCTGTCATTTCAGCATTAGAATAACAGAGTTGGAAGGGACCTTGGAGATCTGCTAGTCCAACCCTGTACTCAAACAGGAAACCTTATTTCAGACAAATGGTTGTCCAATCTCGTCTTTAAAAATTTCCAGTGTTGGAGCACCCACAACTTCTGAAAGCAAGCTGTTCCACTAATCAATTGTTCTCACTCTCAGAAAATTTCTCCCTAGTTTTAGGATGGTTTTCCCCTTGATCAGTTTCCATCCATTGCTTCTTGTCCTGCCCCCAGGTGCTTTGGAGAGTATGTTGGCCCCCTCTTCTTTGCGGCAGCCCCTTAGATATTGGAAGACTGTTATCATGTCACCCCTAATCCTTCTTTTCATTAAACTGGACATACCCAGTTCCTCTGTACTGCCTATGTAATATAAATATCAGAGCCCCAGATTTACAGAAGAAATGCCCTAGTACTGTGCTTAACTGCATCTCACAAGAGTGTCTTACCCACTTCTGGCAAACTGGGCCCAGTAATGCATCACCCGTTGGCTTAGTACCCTGTCAGCTTCTGCATCTGATTGACTGAGTCCTGGGAGTGATGAGAGGGTTCCAAAGAGAAAAGGGACCTCAACTCCATGAGCTGCACCCATCCATTCTTGCCAGATGGAAGTCGAAATTTGGTGATTGAAGGAGTAAACATACACAAAGCCCTTCGTTGCTACCATCCTTGCAGCAATTTCAATTAGTGGGCACACAAAATAGTAATCTCTACTAAAATGAGCCAAGATCTGTCGATTCAGATTCAGCCCTTGTTTATCTTCATTGTACTTAAGTGCTACAGCCTTGATAATGTCTTCTTCAAAATGTCTTCGTAATATAATGTCTATACCTGATATGACCTGCTCCAAGGTATCGTTTTTGTCATCGTCTACATCGTTGAAAACTCGAGGTATAAAGACTGTGCCATCATCCCTTGTAATACCTATAAGTAGTGGCTTTGCTGGAATTGTCCCCTTCTCTAGAAGTCTCTTTGGATCTTCAGGAAGGAAATCCCCATCGTAGGTGGGTAAGAAAAAAGAACTGAAATTCAGAAACACACCGACGTCCTTATTTTGGAGACAGCTCATTGTGGCACTGTGGTTTCCTTTTCTGCAGTTCAACAGACCAATTAAATAACGGGCATATTTCTGGGCCTTTTCAGGCAGCATTGAAGCCCAGGGTGCATTGGGAGCTCCACTCTGGAGCACCGCTTGGTCAAAAAGGGATTGGCTTACAGGAGAGAGGAGCTGGAATCCCACGGAGGCTGCTCCCGCACTATGGCCAATGAGAGTCAACTTATCTGCATCTCCGCCAAAGACTGCTGCATTTTCCTTCAACCACTTCAGAGCCAGATATTGGTCCCATAAACCCATGTTCCCTGGGGCTTCCGGTGGGAAGAAGAGAAAGCCCCAGATCCCCACCCGATAGTTCATAGATGCCACAATGACATTTTCGGTAGCAGCCAATGTTGACCCGTTGTATAAGACCGAAGACCCTGAACCAACAATAAATCCTCCACCGTGGATCCAAACAAGGATAGGGACTGACACAGAGGACTGGGGGTGAGGCACCCAAATATTGAGGAAAAGACAGTCTTCAGAATGGGGTTTACTGGCAACCCACATTCTTGAATAAGGATAGCTAAAAGAGGTCCATTGGTGACAAGGTTTCCCAAAGTGGGTAGCCTCCAAGACATGGCTCCATGGTTGATGTGGGATAGGTTTCTGGAAGCGCAGTTTCCCTACTGGAGGCTCAGCATATGGAATTCCTAGATAGGCATTTACGGCACCAGACTTAGTTATGACTCTCATGCCTTTAATGGATCCAGAGCTGGTGACCACCACAGTGTCATTTTCAGAGAGGTCACTGGAAATCAGTTGGCAGAAGCAGAGACCCAGGAATGCAGGGAGGAGAATAGGCATGGCAGCAATCGGAACAAATAGGATCCAGGATCAGGAGTTACACCTTGTCTCTGATCTGTTGCAAGAAAGCAAGAGACCGAAATGAAAACAAAACCACCCACTGTAAAATCTTGCCCATCAGTTTTAGTCACTAGTAGTCAGTGTGCTTCAGGATGTGGCAGTACCTGACCTCAGAAGACAAATAGGGTTTGGGTTGGTTAGGACTTGGATGGGAATTCTTCCAGGAATGGTAAGGCTATGGGCTAGACTGGGAAATGGGAAAGCTATCTCCAAAGAAGGAAATGGGGAGGCCTTCCATATTTTGTTGAGAAAACTACACAGACATGCGAATGAAGTAATCAGAAATCAAGTTTAACTCAAAAAGTCCTGTCCACAGTGTGGATCAGCCAAACCTGGACACATTTGTTTGCTTGTTTATATTTCATGTTTCTAGACAATTCATCTCCCTCGTGTTTCTAAGCATAACAAAGTTTAAAATAAACAAATATTCGCAGCTGATCAATAGTTGACACAATAAATGATTGTACACACCTAAGAATCCCCAATTGTATGATATTCAGTAAATATGCATCATATGCTAGATCTAGACCTCTGGCTGTGACATTAGTTTAGGACACTTTGCAAAGAAGAATTATCCAGTTTTGGTTTTTCAATAAAGATTGCCTAACAAAGGAGAAAAGGAAATACAATTATACATTTAAAAAAGTTCATTTTTCAATATCTATTGCTCCATGACAGCTGAAAGGTACAACTGATTTAACCAACCTTGAACTTCTTTAGCAAATAAAAGCTGTAGCTGTTCAACAAAGCTGTGGCCTTTGGGATTTTACATCATCATGTTTTGCTCATTCGGAGTAAAAAAAAAAATTCCTACCTTTTAAGATACACAGTAGTAAAACCTAACGATCAGCATTAACAACTCACAGAAAGATGCATGGCCCTGTTCAATATTTCCAGTGTGAAGGAAGATTCATCTAAATACATGATTAATTTCCAAAACACTAAACAAAGTAATGGTGGTGGAGGTGTATGAGGCTAAAACAAGATTTTATCTTCTTTTCTGGGGCCACACCTTCTCTTTTTTTCCCCTTAATACACCCCTGTTCTCCTCCTTTGAAGTACACAGTCTTTCTTTCCAACACAAATTCACATCTGTTCTCCCTTGGAGACTGTCTTGCTCCTCAGAGATTCCTATGGTCAGCCTAAAAGGAAAAAAAGTAGGTACAAAAACATCCATTTGGTTATAGCAGAACAATAAATAAATGAATTAAGGTGTGGTATAAGCTGGCAGGCACTTGAAAAAAAGAAAAGAAAAGGGGCTGAGTGCCAGTTTCTTGTTGTACCAATCTCAGAGGAAAGAGAAACAAAGAAAATACTTGGAGAGACGAAGAAAAAATGGAAACAGAGATTAAGGAAGAGATAAAGATGCTTTGTAGATAGCAGGGAATTGGTAAGGAAATAAAAACTGGAGGCTTCTAGAAAGTAAGAAGCCTGTCTCAAATAGGAAAATCAAACCAAATAAAATGTACATGAGTTAGAATACAGAATTTGGACAATAGAGTTGGAAGTGACCTTGGAGGTCTTCTAGTCCAACCCACTGCTCAAGCAAGAGATCCTATACCATGTCAGATAGGTCTCCAATCTTTTCTTAAAAACGTCCAGTGTTGGAGCACTTGTGAAGGCAAGGCGTTCTACTGATTGATTGTTCTAATAGTAAGGTGACCAACTGTCCTTCTTTAGGGAGGACAGTCCTCCTTTTGTAAGTTCTGTCCTCCCTCGAAAAGTGTCCTCCTACATGTCCTCCTTTTCGATATTTGAAGACTAATCTGCAGGGCTTTTTTTTCTCATAGAACGCTCAGAACGGCGTTCCGGCACCTTTTTTTGATGGTTTTTTTTTCAACTTTTACATGAGCTGTGCTATTTCCGCTATTGGCTTTCAAAAGCCAATAGGAATTGCTGCTGAACACACCAAAACACCCGGCCGGCAAACTTTGCACATACAAGTTGTCTGCAGCGAAGGCGAATTGGCAGGAACTTTGCACCCCTCCCTGCTACCCAACTACACCATCTCCTAGTTAGTCCCAAAGATACCTGGAGGAGACTGGAGCAGTGACGCCACGGTAAGTTTCTCTTGATCTTCGGCCCTGTTAGGGCAATAATGTTGATACTCTAGCTGCAGCACTTGCCCTAAAATTCAGTATGAAGGATATTTCTTGTTCAGATATTTCCAATATATTGTTAGAAGGTGATACATTGACAAAAATATTCATTTAATGGAAAAGTACTCATTTAAATAATAATTAATAGGCGTGTAAGCATAATTACAATATAAAATGTTATTGTTACAAATAGTTTTTATTATGCACTTATCATATTATAATGTATTCTGTATTATTGCTGCAATGAATAAAATGTTTCTTTTATTTATGATATTTTTTTCTTCAATTTATTTGTGTCCTCCTTTTCATTGTAAAAAAGTTGGTCACTTTACTAATAGTCAGGAAATTTCTCTTTAATTCTAGGTTGAATCTCCATTACTTCTTGTCCTGCTCTCAAGTGCTTTGGAGAATAGGTTGACTCCTTCCTTTCTTAGACAGTTCATCAAATATTAGAGCCATGGTGGCACAGTGGTTAGAATACCGTATTGCAGGCTAACTCTGCTGACTTTTAGGAGTTCAATCCTGACTGGCTCATGGTTGACTCAGCCTTCCATCCTTCTGAGGTGGATAAAATGAGGACCCAGATTGTTGGGGCCAAATATGCTGACTGTAAACTGCTTAGAGAGGGCTGTAAAGCACTGTGAAGTGGTATATAAATCTAAGTGCTATTACTATTGTTATCATGTCTCTCCTAGTCCTTCTCTTTAGACTAAATATTCCCAGTTCCTGCCACTGTTCATCATATGGTTAGGAAAGACATAAAACTGTGGATAAGTATGAATATATATGGGTGACAAAAGAAAGGAGCAGATATTAACTTAAGATGTTAAAGAACAATGAGCAGGAGTATGAGAAGCAAGACAAGGAAATGGTTAGCTTTACGAGAGGCATCTTAAGAATACAAAACATTAAGTTAAGGTAGAAAAAAAAATAGACTAGCAAGCAAGAGGTAAAAAGGAGAATGCTGAAGGATTCCCTGCAGCTAAAAAAGGCAGATGGGTAGTTTCTAGGTTGCAACAAACTCAGGAGGACCCTCTTAGTTTGGCCAATTAGGATGAAGTGAGAGTGGTAAGTTTCATCAGCGAGGAAATTGTTTGCTGGAACATCTGGGTGGTAATATAGAGAAGGATGAGCAGATGGAATTAACAAGGGCTAGACAAGAGGAGGCCCAACCCAGGAGAAAGGATTAAGCAGCCATGCAAAAGTACACAAGGACTGAAAAAGAACTGTTCCATTGAGCCATTTTATAGACAGTGTTGCTTGCTATAAGCTTTGTACCAACAGAGAAGAGTTAATTATACCCTGTATTTTTAAAATCTGCTGCACCTTTAAGGAGATTACCACCTCAAGGTGAGCCTCTACTGGACACAGAGCTGAGTTCTGTAAACCCACTGAGGTCAGTAAAAATGAGTGTAGACTTATTCTTGTACCTATGTGATGCTGTTTGTATAGCTGTTCAGTTAATATTTTTCTAATGCAAGCGCCAAAGTAAAATTTTCATAGATATTTAATATCTTTCTTATTTGATACCCTAGGACAGGGGTAGACAACCGTGGCTGTTTTACGACTCGTGGACTTCAACTCCCAGAATTCCTGAGCCAGCATGGCTCAGCTTGGAAGCCTCTCCCTTTTCCCTCAGCATGGCTGGCTCAGGAATTCTGGGAGTTGAAGTCCACGAGTCATAAAAGAACCAAGGTTGCGTACCCCTGCCCTAGGAGGAAGAAGGAAAATCATCCCTGATGACCCCCTCCCCACAGGCTATAGGTAGTCCTTGACTTATGACCACAATTGAGCCCAAAATTTCTGTTGCTAAGTGAGACAGTTGTTAAGTGAGTTTTGCCCCATTTTACAATTGTGGCAAGAAAGTGAATCGCTTTCAGTTGTTAAATGCATCACTACAGTTGTTAAGGGGCTGTCGGCTTGATCTCCGAGCTTGGCGATTTGGCTGCAAACATTTTGTCTCCATTCAGGCAGAGGAAGGGGAACAATTCAAAGCGCCCTGAAGATGTCCCCCCCCCACCCGAATGGAGAAGAAACGTTTGCAGCCAAATTGCCAAGATCAAACCAACAGCCCAACTAACAAGCTGAACTACTAATATTCAAACAGCATCTCACGGTTGTTAAGTATAGAACCTGGTTGTTAAGTGAGTCTGGCTTCCCCCATTGACTTTGCTTGTCAGAAGGTCACAAAGAGTGATCACATGACCCTGGGACACACTGCAACCATCGTAACTATGAGCCGTTTGCTAAGCGTCCAAATTTTGATTGCATGAACATGGGGATGGTGCAACGGTCGTAAGTGTGAAAAAAATGTCATATCACTTTTTCAGTGCTGTTGTAACTTTGAATTGTCACTCGACAAAGGGTTGGAAGTCAAGGACTACCTGTAGTCGGAGACCTGGCAGCAGATCTATGTAAAGGGAATTGAATAGGAGTTGAAACGGATCCTTCTAAGCCAGGGGTAGGCAACCTTGGCTCTTTTATGACTATGGACTTCAACTCCCAGAATTCCTGAGCCAGCCATGCTGAGGGGAAGGGAGAGGTTTCCAAGCTGAGCCATGCTGGCTCAGGAATTCTGGGCGTTGAAGTCCACGAGTCATAAAAGAGCCAAGGTTGCCTACCCCTGTTCTAGGCCAAGGATCTTCCAACTTGGCAACTGTAAGACTTGTGGACTTCAACTCCCAGAATTCCTCAGCTTAAAGTTGCCAAGTTTGAAGACCCCTGTTCTAGGCAATCCCATTAAGAGCCAACTCCTTAATGTAAGAACCAGCCACTGTGTTAAAGCCAGAGCTACACAAACAATAACAGGGGAGAAAACAGCCTTCTACTATCTACATACCAAGGGATTGACCGCTCGAATTCTGCTTATTATTGAAATAAAAACAGCATTTCAGGTATGAGTGCCTGCCAGAGAGACAAGATTGATGGAAAAGCGAATAAAAATGTGCTAGAGATGACTAGTAACATTGTTGGTTATGAATACCAGTAATGGAATCTTCAAGAAGAAAAACTATGGCTTAAGTGGAGCAGTTGGCAGATTAGATATTTACTACTAATAATATTTCCTAATGCCTGATTGTCGTCTCATGAATATTTGTTTCTAAAGAGCAGTGCCAAGGCACCTGCACCATCATTTCCTGTTTCTCTTCCTTCTCGTAATTGGAGTGTCATAACTTTTTGGAAAGGGCAGAGTTATAAGCTATGAAACAACAAGGAAACTATGATATCAAATCAATATTGAGTGTAAAACTAGTGTCAAAATAAAAACAGTAGTCAATAAGACCATGGAGGGACATGATAGCGGTATTCCAGTATTTGAGGGGCTGCCGGAAAGAAGACGAAGTCAATTTATTTTCCAAAGCACCAGAAGGCAGGACAAGAAACAATGGTTGGAAACTGACCAAAGAGAGAAGCAACCTGGAATTAAGGAGAAACTTCCTGACAGTGAGGACAATTAACCAGTGGAACAGCTTTGCCTTCAGAAATCGTGGGCACTTCATCACTGGAGATTTTTAAGAAGAGACTAGGCAGTCACTTGCCTGAAATGGTATAGGTCCTCCTGCTTGAGCAGGGGGCTGGACTAGAAGACCTCCAAGGTCCCTTCCAGCTGTATTCTGTTCTAAAGCAAGGGTGTCCAACCCCTCTAATTTTAAGACTTGTGGACTTCAGTTCCCAGAATTCCCCAGCCAGCATGGCTGGCTGGGGAATTCTGGGAGCTGAAGCCCACAAGTCTTAAAGTTGCTAAGATTGGACATCCCTATTCTAAAAGTATCATAGTAGAATTGGCCTCTGTCCCTTTTCCTCATGACTGTGACATCTGGAGAGAAGCTCTGAATTATGAATATAGGAATCTTCTGGATGGTACCCATCAACCATTTTTTCTTCCTTAATTACTGACAAAAATATGGGGCAAACAGCAGAAATGGCTAAGATTTCTGCTTACTTGAAGGATCATTCACAAGAAAGATACATTTCGGTTTGGAGAAGATGTATAAATTATATTCAGAATAAATATGGGACTAAAAAGTTTCATTTAGCCTATGAGTTAATTTTAGAGTATTATTATGATATTATTATTATTAGTAGTATTAGTATTAGTATTGTTTAACAATTTGGAGATGGTATTGTTCAATAATTAGGATATCAACTTGTTTATATTTTATTATTATTATGTTTATTTTCAATTTGTTTGTATTTATGATAAAGGGGAATTAAAGCGCATTATGGACTTGGTTATTTATATAGTTGGTTAATGTTAGTTAGATTATGATTATCATATTTGTAACCCTGTACTCAGCTCTGGGAAGTGGGGGAGGGAGAAGGGGGGGTTGGGGGGGGTTGATTTTGGTTTATATTGTAATTTTTATAAAACTTTTTAATAAAAAAAAATATGGGGCAAACATTATGAAGGCAGGAGGATAAGTATGACAATTGCATCTTGTGAAGAGGCTTAATTGGCTTGACCTGGCTT